CTGACATCATCAGTTAAGACATAAATGAAAATGGGTGAGTTAGTTCCAGAGGCCAAGGCTATAACATCACCTGCACCATGTTCCATAGATGAGGTGTTGCTCTTTGATGAATTTACAGTTTCTTTCTTACTCCTCATTTTAACCTGTCAATCACTCTGGTAAATGTTTTTTCTTGGCCTCATCAGTGAATAAAACTTTCTTCCAAATCTCTCCTAGATCATTTTTGTACTTCCAAGCAGATAGAAATCAGGGTTTTCTGTTCTTGTTGCGGATGGGAGATTTACATTTTGCAGTGCAGCCTATTAAACTCTGCTGTCTCAGTCTTCTACTTGCTCCCAAGCACTGTGGAGGTTGTTGGCAATTTAACTGTTATTTGAAAGTTTTACATGGAAGGTCTGAAAACTTTTTTTGTCAGCAAGCATGCCAGCCTAGTCTTGGCTAAGCGGTTATTATATCAGTGGTTTGTTTCTCATTTTGTATATTCCAATCTGTTGATTTTGATATGCTTAATTTCTGTGTTGTTACTCTGATCGATTCTTTTCTTTCAGCTTCATAAGTGCCTTTATTTCTTTTACATGAAGTTCTTTGTTTTTAATTTCGCCTTTGACTATGGACTCCAAACACTGAAGTCTAAGCGAGATAGGTTGAGAGAATTTTCACTCTAATATGATTGCCTAATTACTTAAAACACCTGAAGAACAAGAGACACCTGTCTGCCAATTGTCCAGATATTGTTTCTCCTATAAAGACGTTCAATACTATTCATTTATCTTATCCAGGATAGTAATACCTACCCAGGGCTATCATTTCCTCAGTCAGGGCCAAACTCTTGATATTCAAAGGCTTGTCTTGTCACAATGAAAATTTGGTTGAGCTTCTGAAATTACTAATAGAGATCACAGTGAAAATACCATTTAGACAGTGCAGCCCCAATTCTGTTGGAAAGCAATGCAGGTGAACTAAAGAGACTCTTTAGTTCTGTCAGGACAGACAGACAAACAGACAGACAGACAGACACGTTTACAGGTGTCTCAAAAACTATAAAAATTCCAACATTTCCATCACTTACGGCACAGTATTTTTATAAATATGTAATATTAAGCGTGCACTCTTGTCATGGCAGTTGTCAAATCTGCCCAGCTTCCTAATGCAAATATACAATTTATTCAGACAGAAAATGGAGGCAAAGCCATAAAAGCAAAACTTTCCCGAACAGCAACAGAAGAAAAACGTTTTTATATCCAAAACAGTTTGTTTTGTCATAAATCATGCTTTAAAATAGATGCATTCAAGAAACATCACATCTAACAACAATCTCAGAATACAGTTTTTCTGTAACACTGTTCAATTCTTGGGGTCTTTTTAGAAGATGGTATCAAAAGCTAAAAGGTTTCCTTTATTTCTGATTTGGGATATATACAGTATTAATTAATGTATAATTTTTGCTAAATGTAATGAAGTAAAAGGAAATAAGCTTTAAAATACAACTTCCTTCTTTTTACAACCATTGTAATCCCTAGCCAGGCTGCAAAAGAACTAGGAAACTACCTACAGTACAGTTACACTCATTGTCACATACGATTGTAAGACGTCTGGGAATTCCTTAGGGTCTTGTACGTGGACAACAGTCTTCTCATTATCCTGCCTGTTGTTTCATGGCCTATATTTCCTAGCAACCAGGAGCAACTCCCTAATCATTTCTCACTCCTGCATGTTTTCCACCTGGGACAAAGACGCTCAAATACATTGTCATGGCAACTTCAACAGCCGCAGAAGCACTTGGCTCTGCAGAGAAAGTGAAAAAGAAAATCTTGAAAGGAAACTGCAAGATAAAGGCCTTGCTATCCCAACTTTCCCACTGTTAGAATGTAATTAAAAAATTACTTCAACAAAAGGCTGCTTCTGAATGAATGCGTGCCACTCAATGTGTAGCCCTGTCATTGAGACTTTCTAATGCAAAGCAAATGCAATGCAAAGCAACGAACAAAACTGGTAAAAATGTCGTTCACAATGAAAGACGTATAATGGAACAGGCCACCAACATTGATCAAATACTTCCTAAAACTATTTCTAACTAAAAATTCCAGTCATAGTATGCCCCTTTTGGCAAGTGCATGTTTCTGTGCACAAGCAAATAATAGTAACTATTGTCAAATTTAATTGTTTCCCTTCGTTTATGTTCTTGTCACTGTTTTTCATCCATCTCTTACTTTTAGTTTACAAACCTTAGATCATATTACTAAAATACCACTTTGTTCTTTAGCCAAGACACTTAAATTGACTGATCTGAAAAAAGAGGCAGGAAATAAATTTGCTCACTTCTTTAAACTGCAAAAGAGCAAAATGACCAATGTCTTTTCATGTTTTTGTCTTATTGATTCCTATTAATGATTTGCAATTTTTGCATGGTCAAAGACACAGAGTAAGCTATTTCGAAAAAAATATGACAGAGAATGTATTGAGAACACCAGATCTCATTCACTTATGTTTATTAAAATTAATGCTACTGTAAATGTCAAATTCCCCCGTTGCGGAAAGCTATTATAAAAATTATCTAATGAAAAATAATTTGTTTTATAGTATGTAGAGGTTTTTTTTAATGACTGAAACCACAGGTCATTTTTGCACATTACACAGATCGTGCTTTATTGCCATTAGAACAAGTGAAAATTTATCATTAAATGCTGCATCTAAAGCTGGAAATAAAATAATTGTAGACATCACAAAAACCTGTGTGCAGGTATTTAACCATATACAGTAGGTGGTGCTTAGCATTCACTGTGATTTCTGATGATATCTATTAAAATTATAACAAATACAAAAATCTAAGAATCAATTGTGTATATAATGGGTACTTATAGTGCTTTACTCAGGTAATAATCCCTTAAGTGATATGAAAGGAAATAAGATTTTACAAATCATTTATTTCTCAAGGTGAACACTGAGAATCCCAATTTTCCTTCCCTTATTTACTTATTTCACTACTTTGTGGGTCATTTTATGGCCCTGGAAGCTGTACGTTATTGGGAAAAAGAAATATAATGTTTTCTATGTGTGTTAACTTTTCAAAAAGCAATTTTAATACACAGGGTGTAAGAAGAACATCACCTTCAGAAGACTCAATAGTGGATTAAAACTTTACTTGACTGTTAAAACCTGGTTAACCTACCTGAGACTGTATTATAAAAGTATGATCTCCTCGCAGTGCTGAAAATTGATTCAAAGGTATTGGTACATTTTGACAAGCATTCCCTCATTACGATATGTGTAAACAGTACATAAAACTTCCTGAATTGCTAACCTGCCACCTACCCTGCCCCACGGCTGCAACGATTAAATATTTTCATTTTTCATTACAACACTTGATTAATGATTAGGTGCTGCTTTGATGGAACAAGCCAAAACACAAAAAAACTCTATGTGAAAACCACAAAAACTGGATAAACTAGATAGGTAATAATGAAAGCATGAGGTAAGTACAAAGAATACTGTCAACATACTGACTTGCTTTGCGTGCACATTGAAATGCACATTTATGCTATATAAACAATAGAATTTGTTAAAACTTAATTTTTGGAACTTTTAGAATGTTGAATGAGCATGAGTTCATTAAGTTTAAAGTTCTGAAAGGTTTAATCACAAAAGGTATTATAGCTTTATCTTTTGACTCTAGTCCTTTCCAGGTGGAAATTATGTGACAAGTACAACTCATGCCCCTGCTGGGATTCAATTCCATCACTCACATGCTCCAAGCATGCACAGCTCAACTCCCGAGACAGCTGATAATTCTCCCATGCCAAAACACCAGGTTTTCTACTGCAGGAGAGTTTTATATGGTGCAGATTTTAGAGGGGGTGACATCACTTCTGTAACTGGCACAGTGCAAGAGCCCTGTTACATTATGTTTTTGGAGTCATGTGCCTGGATTGTCCATGTTATAGACATGAAGGGAGGTACTTAAGAGTTCTTACTGTCGGTCTTTAACATTTTAAGTAATTTTGTGTATATACTGTACATGTGTGACATCGTAAGACTAAACATGAATCAAACCTTTTCACCATTCCGACACAATAATTTCATTGCATTTTCACAAAAATAAGCAGATGTCCCATAACACCATTTCACATTAAAAACCCTTCTACAAACCACACTACAAAAGTTTCATGTCAGTCAATAATTTGCAAATAAACATTCATGGATTTTGTAATTTGTAAAACACATAATGTATAATGTTGTTTTATATACATTAACATATTTTAGAAATACTTCCTCTCTGGTTGCAAAACATAAGAATGTTCAAAAACACTTACTTAGTGTGCAACAGTGGTTAGGGTTGGGGACTTGTAACTTAAAGGTTACTAGTTTGAAGCCTACGTGAAGCACTACTGTTGCAGCCTTAACTGCCCTTCATTTACAGTAGATTACTTCAGTAAACTAACCAGCTGTATAAATGGGTAAAAAGGTATTTAAAATGCACTCCATTGTATTTTGCAAATCAAAGTGAATGAAAGTGAATTTACCAGCAACTGGCGTTATGGGCAATTTGTTTGAGGCACATGTGTGGATGACATTCTGTACACACACAGAATAAGTTACCTAAAATTGTTGGTTTAAAATAAATAGGTGTACACATCAACCACTATTTAACATCAACCATCAATAAAGCAAATACAGCCCTTCTAATTTAAATATATGCAGTGATCTTACTTTAAGATGTAAATAATAGTTAATACTGACTGGCAAAAAACAAAAACAGGATTGAGGACTTAGAAATGTATGTCTTTGTAAAAAATGTTGCACTGATATTCATATTCAGGCACTCCCTAGTAAATCTTCTACTGCAGCCGTTGCCTAGTTCTGATCTTGTCTTCTCAATGTGTAAATACTGTATGTTCCTGCCTAGCAGAAAGGGCTTGGTTCAGTTCTATCTGTGAAAAGTATCAATTAAGCTTTCAATTTTAGTGAAATACCATGTATTATAGTCAACAAGGGTAACATACCAGAGGTTTGATAGTCTATGGATGTGTTGGATGTTGGTCGCAGAACTGCAGACCTCCGGTAAACTATATGGACTCTCCCATGCTCTTCATGCTCCTGTGTGCCTCTTTCGAGTGGCTCAATGAAGTATTCATCCGAATCCGTTCGAATCATACCAGCCTATCAATGAAAAATTTTAAAAAAGCAATTAAACCACTTCATCAACATCAAGACACTACAGGTGTCATGCAAAGGTACAAACATGGTACAATTTTCAGGGCATGAAAAAAGTATTGCTTGGATACTGTAGTGAAATACAGTTGTTGTAAATGTAATTATTCATCATAGATTTATACAGTGATTCTACTGAACCAGATATTAGCAAAATAAAATCGAACATCATCTTTGATATTGTCAGTCCTTGACCTATAAAAAATAAACATCCAGTTTTACATTTCCTTTTACATGGAATACACAACTAAGGTCTGGAAGAAAGCACCACAACTCAACCAATGAGATACAGTATTCTACAGTACGACTTTTGACCTTATTTTTCCAGCATGCTTTGCTTAAACACCCCTCCACTAAATCTAGCTCATTTTAAGAGAGCTTCCATCTACCTTGACTATATGACCAGGTTCATGTTTTAGAATGTTCTGAAATCTTTGTTTTTTTTTTTAATGCATATTGTACCTCCTGGGAAATTACAGGAATTTACATAAAAATCTCCAACGACAGTTTACTTATGTAAATTATTATCTTAAATTTGAAAATCTATCTGAATTCTTGACAATGAGAAGGCTAGTAAAAGTTTTAGTTTATCCATCACCAAGAAATGAGTATAACTACTGTACAATAATCACATATATATATATATTTAGACCATAAATGAATCCCAAGACAGAAGTTGCAGTTCTTGTATTATTCAGTATACTGTACAGTGTTTGCATATTGCTGTTTCTACACAGCTACACACGTTAAACAAAAAAAACTGTTCAGTGAAAAACTAAGCTGAGCCCCGGCACAGGCCTCATATGTAGAATCTATTCACAGAGTCAGACTGGAATGTGGAGAAGATTTTATTTCCCAGATCTCATCTACCTCATTTTGGCCTCATCAGCATGATCCTGTGGTCTGAGTGCCAAGTACATTTGTATAATTCCAGAGAAGACTCACACACATTTGGTTATTCTCCTCTTTACCCAAATGGGCTTAAATAATTAAGCAAAGATATTCACGAGAAATACAATATAGTAACAGCAAAGCAGTTACTACAATGTTACTGTAACTCAGAGTCTCACATGAATTCTGGAGTGCAGCTGGACAAATCTCAGACGATGTGGAGTTAGGCCATAAGTGAAACAGTGGCTGGTCAGTTTAGGGAAGTGGACGTTTCTTTCTTGGTTGCCAAACACCACACTTCAGGTGTTCTTTCAAAACCAGTGTGGGTGCCATGCCTCCAAAATGGGGATCACAGGCCATTAACACGGTCAAGTAATCACTTACTTCTTTGGAAAAGACCAACAACCGTGAGCCCCCCCTTCATTGTAAGTTGTACGGCCTTCTCCTCCTCTGCTCGAACTTGACCCAAAAGGCCATTCTTCCCAGTGCAATGTCCAGCCATGGGCTGTATTGCCTGGTTTCTCAATTTACGTGAGGTCCTGGATTTTTTTGGTAATCACTGGTGGACTTTTGCAGTGGTTAGTACCATCACTCTCAAACCAAGGCTGTACCATACCAACTCGGTCTTCACTCTCCACTCGCGGCAACACATTCTCAGTGGTTCTCTGTGCCCAAGGACTTAAAACAGCTTTTAGATTTCCCCTTCTCAGTTTTTACTTAGGTTAGTTTTATATTAGATATCTTGAACAAGCTCTGCTACAACAGTCCTACAGTACATGACTGCGCTGCCCAATGGGGAAGCCTGCTATCTCAGCTCAGTTCTGGTGTGCATTAGAGGCAAGTATTACTCCACATGAGTGTCCATGCCTTTACCCTGTCACAAATCTGCCAGAGTGTTCTTGTATGCCATGGTTTTTGGGTCAGAGGTGATGAGTATCCTACTTAACCGACACTTATGTGTGTGATAGCAAGTGGAGAAGGAAAGGCCAAAACAGGATTGCAAGCACACTGCAGTTTACTGCCCTTAATCTTTAACAGGTGCATGCTGATCACTGAGAAAGTGAGAAAAAGAAAGAGCATAGCATTAGCGAACAGCCCATGTGGTAAAGTAAGATTTCCACCTCCCCCCTTTATACAGGGTGGGGGAAGGGGGTATAAAGAGAGCATGCTTGGGGAACAGGGAGAAAGGTTAAAGAGCAGTCCTGGCAGTCCATCACCCAGGGGAAGAACACTGTAGTACTTTCCCAAGGTTGTATGCCTGAAGCAAATAACAAATTATCATGTGAAAGTCTGGAACAAGTTTCACAATAAAGATGAAGTTTAGGCAATATCATTATTTTCTTACAGTATATGATTAAGACCATGGATGACATGTTAATACTCTAAACTTCACCCACTAAGCTACACAAATATCACCCATAATACTTCCAAGAAGTGTATAAACTTCTAGGAAAACAACACCAGAGCAGCACCATTTGACTGATTTACATCAGTCTACATTTTAAAATAGATGCTTAAGAGTGAAGATATGTTTCTCCTTATGTGGCAGATTTAAGAATAGATTATATACTTTAAGTCACAAAGGTCACAAAACCAGTTAGAATAGAACCTACTCAGAGAGAAAGGTTAAACAGCAGGAGGTGTTCTGGACAAATTCAATTGTCTTCTCAACACCACACTACATACAACCACAACCTGTCTATCCAACAGTTTCAGTCTCTAGTATTTCATTTACCCATTAAAATCTTAACTTTTATAGAGCTATAAGCAAACATGAAGAAATTATGTACATCCCTACTATGGAACATAGCTAAAAAGAAAAGAGACAACGTTTTGGCTGTGGAGCCTTCTTTGCAACCTACACATGGAGATACCTACAGTACTTGAAAATCTCCACTGTGTTAACTATACAAATAATATTATGCTGTTATGATATTACAACACATTATCATTAAGGACCAGGTAATTACTTGCTTATACCTAGGAATACAAGAAACAGTATGCAAGAGACAGGAATAACTGTATTAGCATGCAATTAAGACATAACTGGAATCACTGAAACATAGCTAACAGAGTTTTGGTGAAAATGCAACATCACTGGATGCACATGAAGAGAAAAAATGGAAGAATATGGACTTTCTATACTCTTGACAACCAAGAATCTAAATGTACCTTATTGTCCTATTAATTGGTGTTTAAAACTAGACAGACCTCTGCTGATTTTTTTCTTAAACTGTAAATGTGAGAGAAATGGTCGTATTTGTTATTAATATCCTTTATAAAGAACAATATTGTAGACGTAACATTATCTCCATACCACAATGACACCTCTTTGTCTAAGGAAAGGGAACAGATTTTGAGATCAAAAGCTAAAAAGCAGACACTTTGTTGGATTATTGAAGAAGTGGGCAAGAGACACCACCTTTTCTTCCTCGACTGCCTTTGAGCTCCTTATACAAAATAAAGTTATCTGATCTCAAACTGTTCCAAGAATTCTAGTACAGTACTTAAACAAGGCCTTCCCTTTCTAAACGCATGTTGCAAAAATGCTTTATATTCCTTGCTTTCCTATATACTGTATATACAGTATTCTTTTAGTTTAGCTCTATGATTTCCAGCACTCTACCAGTAGAGTAAGACTGATTGGTCTATAGTTTCTACATTTTCTTAGCATGACTCATAAGGTTTTGACCATTTTAGGCCATCCTAGCTGTCAGCAGCAGATTGAGTGCTTTCTTTATCACAAAGGAAGTTATTGATGACTTCTGTTTTAAAAACCTGCAAGTTATATTAATCTAACATGTTTAATATTCTTGTAACATGTTGTATAAATCTCCTGTTATCTCTAACTACCTACAGTACTTTGCTTTCACAGTTGAAAACAAGCTTTGCATTTTTAATTTGGCTTTTTCAATATCCCAAACGCTCACTGTTTGTCCATTACCTTATAGCCTGTTTTTTTCTAATTATAATTCCAAATTTAAATCTAAAATTAAGAGATTGGAAGTATCCATCATAGTCAGTATTATGAACAATTCCTCGATGCTGTATCAAAAAAGAGATCTTCTGGTTTTCAGGCAGATAGGCTACATCGGTAAATTATTCACATCTTTTTTTAATTAATGAATAATTAAAAATAATAAAAGAACAACAATAGCTTGCCAAGGTCTGAAAAAATCAATCAGGGCAAGAGCTGTTTCAAGCAACCAGGCATACATAATTAAGACATCACAAACTTCATTACATGTCTTAAAATCACCATTTTAAAATCATCCAACTCATTCACAATTGGAGAGTTCATGTGGCACTATGGCATCTGAAATGATGATGTACATGTGCATTTCTGGAGGGGTGAAAAACATCTGTGGACCAAAATAAAAAACTCTCCCTGGAGGACAGGGATTCTCTCACAAACACACGAGAATTACATAAGACTCACACCCACTTGCCTTCGCGTGAAATTAAAATAAACATATGCTATGACAGCCTCGGAGCAAATGTAGAATGAAATCGACACCTATGTAGGTAGTGTTTTCAAAGTGATCTGTACATAGTTGGGATCGGTTGTTTCTTTAAGTTTCTAATTTTCCATTATGGTAATGAAATGGAAAATACAGTAGTTAAAATATACACAGTACTAATATGCTGACCTACTAATAACAGGTGAGAAGTAACATATTTACAGTCAGTATAACAAAGAAGCCAACACACAGACACAGGCCTTCATAAAAAGCTTAGGAGTGAGCTTTGAACAAATTAATTGAAATAGAATGTCACATAACGTTTGCCAGCAGGAGAACTGTACACGTGGCTAATTTGCATATGAACTCCAGCCTTGCTTCCTCATTTGCATAGATACCCACAGCTCATGTAAACCTAATTTCTTTCTTGGCTCAAGTGAAACATCTCTCATGTACCATGCGTATGCTCCCCCTGTCTCAACTGTTGGCTGCCTGAAGATGTTGTAAATGCAGTGTTTGTCTAAAAACCATGTCTTGTGGGAAATGGGTGATTTACAAAGTAATTCTATGGATACCAGAAAATAATTAGGGTCAATT